ATGTTATATTCTGCATAGATCGATGTTAAAAACGCACTGCTTCAAATTAACCAATCGATCTGAATAATTCTTTAACTTAAATTGAAATTAAAATGGATCTAAAAACTTTACCTCGTTCTCCAGTTCTACGTTGCCACCATAATTCAAATTTCGGAATCAATAGATTATAGAGTCGTATTTCACGGTAAGTTTAGTAATGAGACGGCTACCTCGCTTTCTTCTTCTTTGAAAACTTATGAAATTGACCGTGAGTGAAACAGTTGAAGTCCTTGTATTACAAATGAGACAGTCCCCACTGCGCTCATTTTTCTTCTCGTCATGTCAGTGTCTACGTATACTGCGGCGACTTCACAGACATGAGTTTGAAACCGTGAGAAGGGTGAAAACGTACGTGCGATGGCGAAATATTGACAGAACAGCTAATCCCTAGCTCTATTATATTGCACACAACAAAGACATGCAGATTACTCATATTTCTATTGACTTTGAGAGAAGTTCATGAGTGTAATAACGTTCCTTGCAGAGAATTCAAAAAGGCATATCACGGTCACTGATATTCCTTCAGTCCCAGATGCTGAATATTATAGTACTCTCTTTAACTCTCTTCGGGTGCAAAGGGTGACTAATGGCGGCTTAATGCTCTGGTCACCTAACTCCTGAATAACTACATTCTCGCGGTGTACCCGTTTAAAACAAAGGGTTATCTCTCGGACTAAGTAAGGGACGGTATATTCCCTGGGCTGCCTGTGCCCGAAGACAATGGATTAGGGGTTCTGTTCTGGTGCTACCGGAAAAAAGACAAACATCTGTGAGTAAGGATCGCAGTGAAAATCCCTTCAAGTGGAGTATGCGCCCTCTGTCTAGTATTAGCTATTGAAAAGCCTGAAAAAAAAAACGATAAAACATCAGTACCTGAAGTTTTCTGTAGCTGTTCGTTCATCCCTTGCACGCATTTTGAGACAAGTTTAGTGACGGCCAGTTTCTATGTTTACGAGATATGACGTCATAAGTAGTAGGTGGTGAAGCCATTTATTAGTGAAAATGCATGTTTTTTCAACTTCTTTCAGGAATAAAAGTAACTTTTGTGGATAAAGTGATGCAAAGTAATTAGTTATGTGTTATTTTACATGGTAAGCGTAAAACCCTATTATTATTATTTCTCACCGTGGCGAACAAAAGGATGGCTGTACTTGTTTATAGGTCAGCGTTAACTTGGCTTGCTACTTTGTCGCTACCCTTTCCAGCGCCCCTTCAGGACTTCTACAACTCGGGCTTAATAGGAAAAATGGCTCGCTACGCCCCTGGCATCCAAATTTGTATTGCTAAGTGTCTTTAGTCTTAGTAAGACGATTTGATTTGACCGAAAATTTAAGCAAAACAACTGCCCAAGAATAAAGCGTCGACTTTGCTTAGGCATGTCGATAGGCCACGCACTGCAAAAAGAGAAACAAAAAACTCAAAAAATTCTTTTAAGTGTAGTTCTCGCAAATTTGCATACTCAGCGCATTTCCATACGAACGTAGCTCTTCTATTTCATTGGGTTCAGAAGCTTGCTTCTCATTTAATAATGAATTAAAACATGGAGAGGGAACTTGAAGTTTCGAAATAGGCTTTGTAGGTTGTTATGTCCTATCTTTCGTCTTCCTCATGATCACGTGGATATGACTGCATAATTTAAGAACATTGTTAGATCTTTCCCCAAATAAATTTCGTCTTAGTCTGTTCACGTGCAACAGCATATGATTGCATAATTACATAAGTCATTAATGAATCATTGTATTAAATCTCTCTCCTCCTATCCATGCAAAGAACTTTTTGGCTTATTTACGTTTATTTGAATAAATAATTTATGACGAGACAAAAGGCAAATTCCCTTGAGACCTTCACTGATAAACTTTAATAGGTCCAATGCTTAATCAGCTGCTTTTCTTAACGAGGTATAACACAATGGAGGTTTTCTTATATAATTAAATAAATGTTATATAAAAAATTGTGTAGCGTCTAAATGAAACTTGTGACCTAGCAGTTTACGGTTAGAGGATGTTGTTCACAGTATTTTCCCGAGTTTAACGAAGTTTCATACGTGCACTGAATCCTAGCGGTTTAACTAAGTAAATGGACCATTAAGAACATCGTTACTTGAAATGTATCAAACATGTAACAGACGGCGCATTCCTCCTGTCCAGACGAAAAAGGAAAGTTAAGCAAAGCCAAGAAGCTTAAGATGAACTTAAGCACGACTTTTCAAACCAATGAGATTGCTTCAGGCTGTGAGCTTTCTACGTTCTTGGGAGGAACTCTAAATGAAAGAACCGGAGAGGCATATACAGTACTCGTGTACCTAATAATTCTGGACATAATCTCTT